TAGGATAGTTATCCATCCTCTGGCACATGTAATTCAACGTATCAAAATGATTTGAATCTAGCAAAAAAGCATATATTCCGTAATCCTGATAAATGGCCCATTTTTGTTGTTGTTGTTAGATAGGATCTCACTCTGTCACTCAGGCCGGAGTGCGGTGGCACAATCATAGCTCACCGCAGCCTCAACCTCCTGGGCCCAATGACCTTCCGGAGTAAACAGGACTGTAGATATGTGTCCCTAAGCCTAGCTATTTAATTTTAATTTTTTAAAATAGTGATCAAGTTTCACTATGTTGCCCAGGCTGGTCTCAAACTCCCAGCCTCAAGTGATCCTCCTGACTCAGCCTCCCTAAGCACTGGGATTATAGGCATGAGCCACCACACCCAAACAGCACATTTTGTCTTTTTTTTTGTTTTTTGTTTTACAGATCTGAGCCACTGCACCCAGCCCAACATATGATTTCTTATTTAAATTTGAAAGCCTGGTATATTAAATCTTACCTCAACATTTACTATTTTTTTTTCTTTGAGATAGAGTCTCGCTCTGTCACCCTGGCCAGACTGTGCAGTGGTATGATGTTGGCTTCTCCCGGGGTTCAAGTGATTCTCATGCCTCCGCCTCCCGAGTAGCTGGGACTACAGAGGCATGCCACCACACCTGGCTAATTTTTTTAATTGCATTTTAGGTTTGGGGGTACATGTGAAAAACATGCAAGATTGTTGCATAGGTATATACATGGCAGTGTGATTTGCTGCCTTCCTCCCCTTCACCTATATCTGGCATTTCTCCCCATGCTATCTCTTCCCACCCCCCATTCTCCCTAGTTCCCCCTAACAGACCCCAGTGTGTCATGCTCCCCTCCCTGTGTCCATGTGTTCTCATTGTTCAACACCCACCTATGAGTGAGAACATGCGGTGTTTGATATTCTGTTCTTGTGTCAGTTTGCTGAGAATGATGGTTTCCAGGTTCAAAAGAAGACATACATGAGGCCAACAAACATATGAAAAAATGCTCATCATCACTGGTCATTAGAGAAATGCAAATCAAAACCACATTGAGATACCATCTCATGCCAGTTAGAATGGCAATCATTAAAAAATCTGGAGACAACAGATGTTGGAGAGGATGTGGAGAAATAGGAACACTTTTACACTGTTGATGGGAGTGTAAATGAGTTCAACCATTGTGGAAGACAGTGTGGTGATTCCTCAAGGACCTAGAAATGGAAATTCCATTTGACCCAGCAATCCCATTACTGGGTATATATCCAAAGGACTATAAATTGTTCTACTGTAAGGACACATGCACATGAATGTTCATTGCAGCACAGTTTACAATAGCAAAGACCTGAAACCAACCCAAATGCCCATTGATGATAGACTGGACAGGGAAAATGTGGCACATATACACTATGGAATGTTATGCAGCCATAAAAAATGATGAGTTCGTGTCCTTTGTAGGGACATGGATGAACCTGGAAACCATCATTCTCAGCACATTTGTAGTCACTAGTATTTTCATCTATTCTGAAAATCCAGGTCAAAGTAAAATCGAGAGTTCCATTTAATTCTGTGGTGCTCAAGTGTGGCAGTGCAGAGACTCAGAGCAAGCTAAGACTTTGATAATGGGGTAAATTTCGGGGGATTTGAGGGGGCAGGAACTTAAAAGGGGAGGAGCATACAGAAAGGCACCACTTCTCTAAATGAGAGAACGTCATTGGGATGGAAGCCCCATTAAAAATTTAATTCATAGAAATCTGCCTATGGCTCTGAGGAAGAGGTTTTGATACAATATTGTTCCAAGTGAAAGTTATTCAAGAAAATAAATTAAACAAAAGACCCAGAAATTGGCACTTGACTTCACTTGACTTTCATTTTGAAAGCCTGGGCAAAATTATATTTCTGGATTCAGCCTGATCAAATCTTCCTGGATCAGTGTGTGCCAGCAAATGAAACTAATAGATAGAGGTGGGATTAAGAGTAAGAAATTCCTGGCTCTATTACCAATTTCTCCAGGGAAATCGTTTCACCTGTGTCTTATATCAAGTTTCACTGGAAAACAGACTCAGAGATAGATGTGTGCTTGCAAGTTCATTGAAATATACTCTCAGGAACAACACCTCTTGCACTAAAGTCTCAGAAAACACCACTAAAGAACTTATCCACATAACCAAAAACCAGCTGAAGCCCCAAAACTATTGAAATAAAAAATTTAAAAAAGAAACAACACCCTTGGGGAAGGAAAGAAAGCCAGATAGGGCAGCAGAGAAATTCCACTTGTGGTGATGTTGTAATAAAGCCTTCAGTCAATCTCAGGGAAAGGCTCAAAGCTTGGATGCTTCCTCGAAGATGCCCTCACTGACTGAGGTAAAGGGTCTTGTACTCACTTTAAAACAACAAAACAGCAGATGCAGGCTGACTCCGGAGAGAAGAGTAACCTTGGTGAGATGGCTCCCTTCTGCCAAGACCAATGACAGAGGAAGCACTCAGGTGTAATCCCTAGCGGGCAACACTCCCAGCAGCTGGAGAGCATGTGATTTGGTCCTGGAGGGCGAATCTGGAAGCCAACAGCAGTGTCCACTACACCCCATCAAGCAAAGACACCCATCTTTTCATCCCACCTCACTGAGAGAAAAGATACAGAAATTCACTCAGGCGGGACCATTCATAATGCCTTTCCATGACCTTGATGAGGCCAGTGTCATGTCGCAATGAATGGAGAAACTGAGAAATGAGGAAGCAAAGGCAGAAAATATAAGCTTTGTTATGAAGGAAGGGGGAGGAGAGAAGGAGAAAAGCCGGTAGTGATGCAGAGAAAGTTTTTAGTTTTGAATGTTGGAGAGGTCTGATCATGTTAATAGAATGAGGGAAGAGTTAAATAAAGGTACTGAAAATCCAGAAGAGAAAAAATAATTGAGAAAACAAAGGTCAAAACAAACCCAGAGACTAGAATGGAGCATTCAGGCAGAGATGAGGTTTCTGAGAGGAAAAAGGAGATGGCTGCAGAGACACTGAAAAGGTGAAGGAGTTCAGGGTTGCCAGGGCTTATTATTCTCAGGAAAGCAGGGGTCTACGTCTCCTGCCGAAAGTGACAGGCCCAGGGTAGATTCAGGATTTGAGGTAAGGAATGATGTCCGGAAGTTGTCGCCTTAGGAAATGGGTAAGTTTGTTGGACAAGAATGAGAAAACCAGAGAGGATAGAAATTATATGACTGTCATGGAGACGGTCCTGATTCAGTTATTGGCTTAGGTTTTGCTTTTGATTGGGGTTTTTTCCCCACTGTGGCCTATTTCACCTCGGGAACAAGAATGGAAGACATGAATGGTTGTGCCAATGCTGGACTGGCTGGTGTGGTGGCACCACAGGGAAGAGAAAACTATGGGTGGTGGTGAGAGCTTGCTCGAAATAATTAAAGCCCAGCCAGAAGTGGGGCTTGTCAACTTGGATAACTGGCTGGGTCCAGGATAAGGAGAGGTTTACTGGAAGTAAAAGACAGCTCTCTGGGGCCGGGCACGGTGGCTCTCACCTGTAATCCCAGCTCTTTGGGAGGCGGAGGCAGTTGGATCACCTGAGGTCAGGAGTTTGAGATCAGCCTGACCAACATGGTAAAACCCATCTCTACTAAATACAAAAAATCAGCCAGGTGTGATGGCACATGCCTGTAATCCCAGCTACTCAGCAGGCTGAAGCAGAATCACTTGAACCTGGGAGGCAGAGATTGCAGTGAGCCGAGATTGCACCATTGCACTCCAGGCTGGGCAACAAGAGCGAAATTCCATCTAAAAAAAAAGACAGCACTTTGGTATGGTGGCCAGATACGGGGCTGTGAAGTGAAGGGAAAGTATCCCCTCTCGCCCATCAGGAATTTTATCTCCAGCCTTGTCAACCAGCAACAATCTTGGGGTTTAAATCTTCCTGGTCTTGCTGGCCCTCCTGCCTAAGAAGCCAGTAGCCACCTGACTCATCAGGCCCATGCCTGACAGTCACATCTTATTACCCTCCAACTCAGATCCCAGTGATCCTTTGCTCTCTCCTTCATGTTGCACTCCAATATTCTCTGCTGTCAGAACCGTGAGAAGGTGATCTATCATACCTTTGTAGATCATGATGGAAAAGCATGGCTTCCTAGTAAAGTGCCACTGGGAAGACTAGCCTTTCCACTGCGGAATTTTCTTCCAACTCCTCTCAAATCCAGAACCTTTCTTCCCAGGTACAGGACAAGGAAAAAGTGTTCGATGGCAGAATTGATTTTATACGAAGATGAAAGTTGCATGTGCTGAATGAGTGCTTTCCACATGGAATGTGCCCATATGCAACAACAATGAGTTTGTGTTTAAATAAACTTGGAGACACAGACATACAATAACAAGACATACGTTTCATACTGCATATAGGCATATACATAACTACCCTATTAAGAATTCATTTGAGATGGTGAAATACTTCTGTTCTGTGGGACTGCATCAGACTCAGAGTCATCTTTATTTAAATGGCGTGAAACAAGGTAACACGAGAACTGCTGTTTTTTTGGACACAACAGTAGAAACCAGAGATGGACAAGGTCATTCAGGTCGTTTGACACCTTAAGTTTCTTGGCAGACAGGTTCTGCCCAATGCCCTGTGCTCACACTTTCCCCAGGTGGGTTTTAACAGATACAAAATATCAGGCTGCTGATACTCGCTCACTATTAGTTAGATTTAAAATGCCTCCGAGAAAAGAGAAAGAGGGAGCACACTTCCTTGTAAGGAAGTTTTGAACCAAATGACTCTGACAACCAGCTCACCACTGGCCTAAAAACCACAAGCCATCATGAAGGCCTCCCCACTTGCCTCAAAGACCAATAAAGAGAGCATCCCAGGCCTCATGAAAGAGTAGGTAGTTCAACACGGAGATGCTATAAATAAGTAATTCACTCCCAGGTCCAATTTCTTTTGTTGAGTTTAAGTGTTCAAATACCACTTTGTTTTATTAATGCGGGTGTCTCATTTCTATTCTCAGTTTCAAACCCGGTGGAATCAAAAAAACCAAACAGAACAACTCTGCATCTGTTAATAGGTCAAAGTCCATCAATTTCCCCAGTCTCCCCAAAAGTTTGTTAATTCAAAATATTAAAGAAAAATGTTCTATTGGTGTTCTCTCTAATTTGATTATTTAGGATACACAGCTTCCTAGCCTATCTTATTATTGCTGCTTTGTGTTGTCTAATTACGAGAAACCATACCTGTACTCCAGCTGGAGTAACAGGGCAAGACTCCGTTTCAAAAAGAAAAAGGAAAGTTAATGGTTGTATGTAAAGTGAACTCTACCAGTCTACGTGATCCACTTGTAAGGGAAAATTGGCTCTCATCCTTGAGGATGGATCATTCCAGTGAACCCCAGATATGCCTGAGTGATGGGAGAGGTGCTCAAGAATGCCTGTTCAAAAGCAAACACCAAGGTTGAACTTAGTTAGAAAATACCAAGGTTGAAATCAGCCATAAGAGACTTCTGGAGGCTCAAACTGGAAGGAACCTTAGAGATGGTCTAGTCCAATCTCCTGCTAGAGGCAAGGAAACTGAGGTCTTTGCCATTCAGACTGCTCTGGCACCAGCATGAACTAGTGGCAAAGACAAGAGTAAAACCCAGTCCTCCTGGCCCCCAGGCCAACACTTTACAACCTGATGTTCTTAAACAGAAGCCCCCAACCCTAGGGGATATACATTTATGTGCCAGAAAATACTCCAAGGCGAAGCAGAAATACGCCACTTCTTCCTAAATCTTGGATACTACTTCAAGGTGAGGACGTTAAACAAATGCTTGTTAAAAAATAAACATGTTAGACCAGGCTCAGAGACTCATGCCTTTAATCCCAGCACTTTGGGAAGCAGAGCTGGGAGGATTACTTGGGACCAGGAGCGTGAGACCAGTCTGGGCAACAAAGCAAGATCCCTTCTCTTCAAAAAATAAAAATAAAAAATAAACCCAGCTGGGCCTTTAGTTCTAGCTACTTGGGAGCCTGTGGTGAGAGAATTGCTTGAGACTAGGAGTTCGAGGCTGCAGTGACCTATAATCGTGCCACTACATTCTAGCCTGGGTGACAGAGTGAGACTATTTCAAAAAAAAGAAAGAAAAGAAAAGGAAAGAAAGAAGAAAAAAGAGGAGGAGAAAGAAATAAAAATGCATTTATTATTGCAGGACAAAACCAAATTCACATGACTTTTTAAAGCGAATACAAATCTCACAGGAAGTTGATGCTTGCGGCAGTGAGGTTACGTGGCCCACGGGTATGTGCTGCTGCACGTTCACTGCTAAGGGCACGTCCTGGACCAGCTTGACAAGCACACTTTTACCCCACGCTGCCTCCAATGGCCAAGAAATCCCTTCGAGGATCACTATGGCTAATTTCTTTTTGTCCTGACCCGTTTCTCTTGCGTATCCCTACTTAGGTAAATACAAGTGATTCAAACCAATATGTACTGGAATGTACCTTGTTTCCTGCTTCTTGCATAGAGGGGGAAATGGCCTCAATGTCTTAACATGTGAAACTTGAATCATATTTATGCCTTCTCTGCCCTATTCCTTTCGGACGATAGGCTCAATATAGCAGTACTGATTTTTTCAATTTAATAATGCTGAAAAGGAATAATTTAGGTCTTTTCACTTAATTCTACAGTGCTTTTTTTTTCTCTGTTGCCCAGGCTATAGTGCAGAGGCGCCATCTCAGCCCACTGCAACTTCTACCTCCTGGGTTCAAGTGATTCTCCTGCCTCAGTCTCCCGAGTATCTGGGACTACAGGCATCCGCCACCACACCAGGCTAATTTTTTGTACTTTTATTAAAGATGGGGTTTCACTGTGTTAGGCAGCATTGTCTTGATCTCCTGACCTCATGATCCACCGGCCTTGCCCTCCCAAAGTGCTGGGATTACAGGAGCGAGCCACTTTACCCGGGCTTTTTTTTTTTTTTTTGAGACCAAGTTTTGTTCTTGTTGTCCAGGCTGGAGTGCAATGGCACTATCTTGGCTCACAGCAACCTCTGCCTCCCGGATTCAAGCGATTCTCCTGCTTCAGCCTCCGAGTAGCTGGAACTACAGGCAGGTGCCACCACGCCCAGCTACATTTTCGTATATTTAGTAGAGACTGTTTCACTATGTTGACCAGGCTGGTCTCAAACTCCTGACCTCCAGTGATCCACTTGCCTTGGCCTCCCAAAGTGCTGGGATTACAGGCATGAGCTACTGCTCCCTGCCTATAGTGCTTTTAAAAAGTATTTTTTTCTTCTTAACTTTCCTTTTCCTTTTTGAGACAGAGTCACCCTGTCACCCAGGCTGGAGTACAGTGGCACAATCTTGGCTCACTGCAACCTCCACCCCCCGGGTTCAAGTGATTCTCCTGCCTTAGCCTCCTGAGTAGATGGGACTACAGGCATGTGCCACCATGGTGACTAAATTTTATATTTTTACAGGAGACAGCGTTTCACCATGTTGGCCAGGCTGGTCTCAAACTGCTGAACTCAGGTGATCCACCCACCTCGGGTTACCCGGGCTGGAGTGCAGCTCACTGTAGCCTCAAACACTCCTTCTGCCTCAGCCTCCTGAGTAGTTGGACCTACAGGCGTGCACCACAACACCTGTCTACACAGTGCTTTTCGTTAATTTGCATAAGAAAGATGTTACCCAATTACATATTTACAATCTCAACTTACTATCACTCCCATGTTTTAAAGAGGAAGCACAGCCCCCAACAGCCCTTCATTTACTCCCTGTGCTGCAAAAGGAGGTACTCTTAGAAGTTAGTAAAAGGACCTGTAGTATGAGGCTTCTGAAAGAGTGCTGAGTGTTTGAACAATTTTTATGCTTTTTCCCAACTGTCTTTAGATTTCATCAGAAAAGCTAGAATTATTTAGCTAATTCTGATTTCATTTCTGTCCAGAGAAACAGGCTACAAAACTTTATCTTTAGAGTTCCTTTTCACTAGTTACTTTGTGATGTGCCGCACTGATGACTCCAATTCTTCACCTTTCTTCTTACTATGCATTTATCTGCATGATCTCACAGCTCTTCTTGTCAAATGGCAGAACGTACTTCCTTATCCTTTGATTAGGAATTTAGTCATGTAACTTGTTTTGGCCAATGAGATCTTAACAGATGTGGCATGAGCAGAGGCTTAAGAGGTGCTTGCATCTATCTGCTTGCTCTCTTTTGACTCTGCCATTACCAAGAGAAGAACACGTTCAAGCTAGCCTGCTAGACCTAGGAGCAGGAGGAGCGACAGATGGAGCAAAGCCACCCCCAGTCAGCCCAAGATAAGTGGGTGCATCCTGCCAAAAGCAGAAGTTGGATATTTTATGTAAGAACTTTGACGGTTTCATTCTACTTCTCCTGGCTTCCACTGTTCTATTAAAAAAAATCAACCGTTACTCTTACTGTTTCTCTCTGGCTCCTTGAAAGATTATTTTCTTTGATTTTTTTTCAGCAGTTTCACTGGGATATGTTTAGCTATGGCTTTAGATTTATATTTCCTGAGGTTTTGAATGATTCTTACATCTATGGCTTGATATCTCTCTGGGATTTAAAAAAATTTTTTTTTTAATTCTAGAGCAACTGTTGTTGCTCTGGAATTCAGAATAGATATGATCTTCCACTTGCAAATTCTCTTTTCATCTGAGTCAAATCTGCTAATAAATGCATCCACTGAGTTCTTAATTTCAGTTCTTGCATTTTTTTACTTCTAAAATACAATTTGATTCTTTTCATGTTTCACGTTTCGAATCTGTCAAAATTCTTATCTGCTTTTTAAAAATTTACTGAACTTCTAAAATCTTATTTCATGCTCCATTATCTGTAGATTTATTTCTCTTTTTAACTATTTCTCTTGGGTTTTTGTGGGTTTTTGGCCATGTTATGTTGTCGCCTCCAGTGACTGGTTAATTTTTGTCATACATGGCACATAAGATGTGAAAGATGGTAAAGATTATTTTAGGTTTGGGATGATGTTATCTTCCGCCAGAGGGTTTTATATTTGCTTGTAATAGGCTATCCCAAATCACTTTGATCCGAAGATTGAGACTATTCCAAACTGATGTACATTTGGTTTACCCTTTCTTCTAAGATGTCGTTCCTTAGGGTCTCAATCCAAAGCTTAGGGAAGACTTTCCAGTGCATTCTCCACCCTTGGCAGCGCATGATCTCTATATTTTGTCCTCTAAGGTTTATGAGTTAGTGGAGAGCTTTTCTCAGATTTTTAGCTGCCTCTTCTGAAGTCAACAGCTATTTGCAAAATAAAGCAGCCACAAACACTGAGCCCAGCTCTCTGAGTTTCCTCTTTCTTCTGTATTTTAACCCTATAATCCTTCAGTGCCTCAGTAGCTATCTTATGTCATCAAACAGCATTTCCCCTCCATGTTCTCTGTTTGTTCTCTGTGGGAAAAAAAACCCAAAGTTATCACAGAAAGAATGAAATTTATCAGAGATGTTGAAAACCAAACACTTTTCAAGTAATAAACGAAAATGACTGCTAATAACCTAGTTTTATATCTGGCACCAAAAATTTTCAAAAGAAAAGTTAAAGTTAACATACTTCTAGATACACACAAATGGAGATAATTTGTCACCAGTAAACCCATAATAAAAGAAATGCAAAAGGAATTTCTTCAAGTGCAAGGAAAATGATCACATCTATGTGATCCCCATAAATCCAGAAGAAATGAAAAGCAACAGGAATGGGAAAATGTGGGTAAATCTATATAAAAATTGACTGTACAAAACTATTAACATTTTATAAGGCTCATATATATATGTATAGAACTAAAATGCCTGACAGTAATAATACAGAAGGCATGCGGGAACAGATAGAGTTAAAGTGTTCTGAAGTTCTGTTTTGTTTTGTCTTGTTTCTGAGATGGGGTTTCACTCTTGTTGCCCAGGCTGCAGTGCAATAGCGTGATCTTGACTCACTGCGACCTCTGCCTCCCAGGCTCAAGTGATTCTCCTGCCTCAGCCTCCTGAGTAGCTGAGATTACAGGCACATGCCACTATACCCAGCTAATTTTTGTATTTTTAGTAGAGAGGGGGTTTTGCCATGCTGGCCAGGCTGGTCTTGAAATCCTGACCTCAGGTGATCCACCTGCCTTGGCCTCCCAAAGTGCTGGGATTACAGGCAAGAGCCACCATGCCCAGTCCTGAAGTTTTATCGTTTTCTATAAAGAGGTAAAAATATGATTCTATATTACACTTAGATGAGTCAAGGGTATACTCTGTAATCTCAAGGATAACTCCTAGTAAAAGAATATAGAACTAACATACCTATGGGTAGTGGTGGTAGTAATTAAATGGTAAATATAATCCAAATGTATCCATGTCTAGAATCACCTTAAATGTAAACAGACTAAATACTCAAAATATTGTCAAACTGGATTAAAATAAATGCAATCCAACTATATGCTACTTTTAAGAAACACACTTTAGGGCCGGGCACAGTGGCTTACACCTGTAATCCCAACACTTTGGGAGGCCAAGGTAAGTAGATCATCTGTGGTCAGAAGTTCAAGAACAGCTTGACCAACATGGAGAAATCCCATCTCTACTAAAAACACAAAATTAGCCAGGTGTGGTGGTGCATGCCTGTAATCCGAGCTACTCTAGAGGCTGAAGCAGGAGAACTGCTTGAACCTGGGAGGCAGTGGTTGCAGTAAGTTGAGATCATGCCACTGCACTTGAGCGTAGGCAACAAGAGTGAAATTCACTCTGTCTCAAAAAAAAAAAAAAAAAAAAAGACACACTTTAAATATAAGAACAAAGAAAAGTTGAATAGAAAAGATGGAAAAAGAAATACCATAAAAACACAAAGCAAAATAAAGCTAGTGTTCTAGCATACCAATACCTTGCAAAGTAGACTTTAAGCTACGAAATATAAATACAGATAAAAAGGAACAAAATGATGTATAATAATTACAAATTTCTATATGTATTCTCATGAATTGAGACTACATAAAGATAATTTTGACAGACATAGAGGAAAAAATACACAAATCTACAATCATAGTGGGAGAACTTTAACTGTCTCTCTCAGTAACTGAAAGATCAAGCAGGAAACAGTAAAGATACAGAAGATCTGAACAACATGATTGACCAACTTGGATAATTCGGGATATATAGAACACTTACCTACAACAGCAGAATATATATTTAAATGTATGGAAAACATCTATCAAAATTGACCATGCATCCATAAAGCAGGTCACACCAAAATTCAGAGATTTCAGTTAATCAGGATATGTTTTTTGACCACAGTGGAATTTAGCTAGAAATTAATATGAAGAATATAACTTTAAGACCCAAATATTTGGAAAGTAAACAATAAATTTCTATTTCAAGAATACAAAGTTTCAAAAAAAGTCCAGGATCAGATGGATTCACAGCTGAATTCCACTAGATGTAAAAAGAACAGCTGGTACCATTACTGCTGAAACTATTCCAAAATACTGAGGAAGAGGGACTTCTTCCTAACTCATTCCATGAGGCTAGTATCACCCTGATAACAAAACCAGACAGAGACACAACAAGAAAAAGAAAATTTCAGGCCAATATCCTTGATGAACATCAATTCAAAAATCCTCAACAAAATACTGGCAAACTGAATCCAGCAGCACATCAAAAGACTGATCTACCATGATTAAGAAGGCTGTATCCCTGGAATGCAAGGTTGGTTCAACACATGCAAATCAATAAATGTGATTCATCACATAAACAGAACTAAAGACAAAAACCACATGGCCAATATCATACTGAATAGGCAAAAGCTGGAAGCATTCCCCTTGAAAACTAGCACAAGACAAAGATGCCCTATCTCACCAGTCCTATTCAACATAGTACTGGAAATCCTGGCCAGAGCAATTAGGCAAGATAAAGACATAGAGGGCATCCAAATAGTAAGACAGAAAGTCAAACTATCCCTGTTTGCAGACAACATGATCCTATGTATAGCAAACTCCATAGTCTCAGCCCAAGAGCTCTTTAAGCTGATAACTTCAGCAAAGTCTCAGGATACAAAATCAATGTACAAAAATCACTAGCATTCCTGTACACCAACAACAGTCAAGCTGAGGATCAAATCAGGAATACAATCCTGTTCACAATTGCTCTCTCCCCACCCCCGCCCCACACACATGAACTAAGAATACAGCTAACCAGAGAGGTGAAAGATCTCTACAAGAAGAACTATAAAACACTGCTCAAAGAAATCAGAGATGACACAAACAAATAAAAAAACATTCCATGCTCATGGATAGGAAGATTCAATATTGTTAAAATAGCCGTACTGCCCAGAAGATTCAATGCTATTCCTGATAAACTACCAATGACATTCTTCACTGAACTAGAAAAAAACAATTTTAAAATTCATATGGAACCAAAAAAAGAGACAGTATGGCAATTCCTCAAAGACCTAAAGACAGAAAAACCATTCAACCCAGCTATCCTATTACTGGGTACATCCCAAAAGGAATATAAATCATTCTACCATAAAGAAACATGCATGTGTTATGTTCATTGTAGCATTATTCACAATAGCAAAGATGTGGAACCAACCTAAATGCCCATCAATGGGAGACTGGATAAAAAAAGTGTGGTACATATACACCATAGAATACTATGCAGTCATAAGAAAGAACAAGATCATATCCTTTGCAGGAACATGGATGGAGCTGGAGGCAATTATCCTTAGCAAATTAACACAGGAACAGAAAACCAAATACTGTTCTCACTTGTAAGTAGGAACTAAATGATAAGAACATAAGGACAAATAGAGGAGAACAACACAGACTGGGGCCTACTTGAGGAAGAAGAGTGAGAGGAAGGAGAGGAAAAATAACTAATGGGTACTAGGCTTATCTTATCATTAAATATGACAGCTGATGTTTGTTTTATTTTTGTAGTCACTATTATATAGAGAAGCTTTGTTTGTATCTTAAATAATCATAAATAGGAATTAAATTTTACTATATTTTTTCAGAGGTCTTCCTTCTGTATCTATCAACAATACCTGGGTAATAAAATAATCTGTACAATAAACCCCCATGACCGAAGTTTACCTATGTAACAAACCTGTACATGTACCCAGTGAACTTAAAATAAAAGTTAAATTAAAAAAAAGAAAAGAATACAAAGTTGGTTTAAAATTTGAAAATTCACCAATATAATTCACTGCATTAATAGAAATAAAGGAGAAAAATTATAGTTCGTTGATAGATACAGAAAGAAGACCTCTGAAAATTTTTAGTAAAATTTAATATCTATTTATGATTCTTTAAAATACAAACATCAAAACATCTCTATATAATAGTGACTATGAAAAACAAACAAAACAACAACTATCATATTTAATGATAAGACAATGAACATTTTCCCTGTGAGATCAGGGTAGAGACAGGGATTCCTGCAATCAACACCTACTTAACATCGTATTTCATTTCCTAGCCACTGCAGTAAGGCAAGGGGGGAAGGTACAAATTACCACAATAATAATCGATTCAAGCAAGAATTACTAACAGTGTCAAAGTATTGTTTCACAAGTTTATTAATTACAAAGGCAAAAGAAAAGTTTATAAGGGAGAAATCTGGCAAGCACCATCCTAACCAAGTGATAAAAATTAACATCACCAATAATAGGTCACATCATGTGCCTCCTGTTGTGATGACTGAGAAATACATGTTGTCACATAAAAAATTTTTCTTCCAAGAATGTTTATCTTGAATATAAGTATCAAGTGTCCATCAGACAAATCCATATTATTTGATATTCTGCGTAACCAGTGGTCTTTAAAATTGTCAACATTATGACAATTTCATAATTTGGAGCACTGTTCTAAAGAATTTAGGGGTGGAATGTCATGTTATATGCAACTTTTGTGACTTAAATAATTCAGCAAAATATATGTACTCATCTATCTATCTATCTATCTGTCTATCTATCTATCTGTCTGTCTATCTATCTATCTGTCTGTCTCTCTGTCTGTCTGAAAGATATAAAGAGGGTTCACACACAAAAAACAAATTAGCAAAATGTTAATAATTGAAACAGGGATCAGCAAACTATAGCCCACAGGCCAAACTGGGCTGAAACCTACTTGAAAACTCATAAAGTTTTGTTATAACACAGCCATGCTCATTCATCTAAACATTATCTGTGGCTGTTTTTTACTACAACAGCAGAGTTGAGAAGTTTTTATTATGTTATTAAAAAGACTGACTTCCATCTTAGTTTCTCTCTCTTTATCTTTCTCACTCTCTAACTCTCTAGTTTGCTAGAACTCTCATGCACAGCCAGTGGGGGTATAAATTAATATGGTCACTCTAGAAAGTTACCTGGATGTATCTACTAAAGCTGCATGCGCGTGCACACACACACACACACACACACACACCCTCCTATGACTCCTATGTAAATGCATTCATACCCATTAGAAATGTGTTCACAACAAAATCATGTACAATATGTATCATTTGCAAACACATATCAAGATTTGCAAAAAGTCAATGTCCTAGACTACCAAAAAAGGTCTCAACAGTTACCAAGATATTGATATAAACCCGTCTCTGATCGCAAAGCATTAAAAATACAATTCAAGAACAAAAGCGAACCTTCCCCCACCCTGGGTTATTGTATGTTTGTAACAAAAGAAAAAAGAAAACAAATATTTAAATAATGGGGGTAATGGGACAAGAAAAATCAAATATAAATTAGAAAAATGTTCCAAACTGAAAGATAGTAAGAGGGTTACATATGCTAATTTCTAGATACAACTATGATGGAACTTAAGTGAAGTGCAATCATCTCAGATGCACTTGTTAGAAAAGAAAAGATTGGAATTCAATGATGTAAATGTTCAACATACAAAGGTAGAAAAAATTAGAAGAGTAAACAACATGAATAGAAGAAAGTATCGTTTGAGATCAGAATTTAATAAAACAGGACATAGAAGCAAAGTTAATTTAATTAGTATCTATACTCCTTCTGAAATGCACAAAGATTTTCAAATGCATTGCCTTTCCTATTTTCCACATTATTATCTAGTACGTTTTTTTCATCTTGCTTATAAGCAATCCCCAACAAATCACTCCTTACTTAGACAATATTGTTGATTTCCTGGACTATTATTGCTTCTTGCATCCCATTTCCGTTTGCAATCAATTGTTCTCTTACTTAAATATATTCTTTAGTAGTTAAGTTCTGTGAGTAAACTCATAGTCTTTTGTGTGTGTATATCTGAACATGGCTTCATTTCAGCTTTGGTCTTGAATGATGGTTTAGTTTAGTAATGAAATTCGATTATTTCCTCTGGTGTTCTAAATTCTTTTTTGCAGATAAAAAGTGATACTAATCTAATCTTCATAGAGAATCTCTTCATAAAAAGCACAGTTGACCCTTTAACAACATGGGTTTGAACTGCATGGGTCCACTTATATAAAGATTCGTTTCAATAAATATATTGGAAAATGTTTTCGAGATTTGAAATAACATGAAAAAGTTGTAGATGAACCATAGAAATATTAAATATTTGTAGATGTAGCCTAGAAATATAAAAAAATTAAGAAAAACTTAGGCATATCATGAATGCATGATGTGTGTAGATAGTAATGAAAGGCATACCTGTAGCCTCTAATACGATTTGAGAAAAAGCGAAGTCATACAACACCTTAAAGCAAAAGGAAGAAGAAAAATCTAAAGCTGGAAAATTTAATGCCAGCAAAGGATGGCTCGATAATTTTAGAATGATGTTTGGCTTTAAAATGTCAAGATAACAGAGAAAGAGCTTCTGCCAACCAAGAAACAGCAGATGAGTTCCCAGACACCATTAAGAAAATCATTGTTAAGAGAGGGTATGTACCTGAACAGATGTTCAATGCAGACAAAAGTGTCCTGTTCTGGAAAAAAATGCCACAGAAGACATTTATTAGTAAGAAAAAGATGTGAGCACCAGAATCTAAAGCAGGAAGGGATAGGCTATGTCTACTGTTTTGTCCCAATGTAGTAGGGTTTTTCATCAGGATTGCCCTTCCATAAGGCTGCTGAGCCTTGAAGGGAAAAAGATAAACATCAGCTGCCAGACTTCTGGCTGTTCAATAAGAAGGCCGGTCAGTTTGTGGACAGACATCCACTAAATAGCTTGCTGGAATTTTTGCTGAGATTGCAATTGCTTTGAGTCTATAGATCAAGTTGGGAAGAACTGACATCTTGATAATATTTAATCTTCCTATCCATGAACATGGAATATCTCTTCATTTATTTAGTTCTTCCTTGACATCTTTAATCAGAATGTTGTAGTTTTCCTCATATTCCTCACGTGTTTTGTTAGATCTATACCTAAGTATTTCATTTGGGGAGGAATGAATGTAAATGGTATTGTGTTTTTAATTTCAAATTCCATTTGTTAATTACTTGGATATAAAAAAGTGATTGACTTTCGTGTATTAACCTTGTATCATGCAATCTTGCTACAATCTATTTTTAGTTCCAGGAGGGTTTTTTTGGTCAATTCTTTCATATTTTTTAAATAGACAATCATGTCATCTGTGAAGAAAATGTAATTCTTCCTTCCCAATCTGTACACCTTCTCTTTTCTTTTCTTATTTTATTGCATTAGCTAGGACTTCAGTAAGATGTTGAAAAGCTGTCTGGTTATTTTTAATCAATAAACCAGAAAGTCTTATTTTGGTAAACAAATTGCTCTTCCTTGTGTCCTAGTAATTAAAAAATTATCTAAAGTTAAAGGCCTTTAATCAGGACCTGCTTTACACTAGAAGCTTACAAAGAGAAAGGGGAGGGGTGACTCATTCTCTATTTTCTCTCCTTATGCTTCTCTAATGCTTACCCCCTACTCCTTGACTAAGTTGATTTCTAGATCCTCAAAGTGGAGTGGGGTATCCTGGTGCTAGTTTTCTGGGAAAGGAGAAAGGTCTGGCAGAAGATGTTTTGCTTTACATGATCTGTTTTGCATGATTTCATGTACTTTAGTGCTGATTCTTCTATTTGGGAGCAGTTTGAGTTTTTGAGTCGCCAATGAAATTCCACATTGTAGTTTTAACAGAGGCAACACTAATGCAACCTGCCCTCACTGGCTGTCCCTAGCAGTTTATCATGCAATCTTTTATTGCTTGGTTCCCCTCATATTGGCAGGCCTCCATCTTGGGCAGGCTCCCTTCAAGTTGACCCCTGTTCATGAGTTGGCAGTGCCTATTTAGCCCTTAGGAAACAACATATATTTTCCAAGCCAAATGAAGAAGTATTCCAAATATCACTCTTCCTTCTGGCCTTGCCTGGCACCTGCAAGTGGTTATAGTCAAAGCCTTCTTGAGATTGAGTAAAAAACCGGTCCCTGTGTTTCCCCAAATTCAAGGGGACGATCTGAGATTCTCCAAATGATCTTCTCAAAACCCCTTTTAGTAGACTTAAGCGGACTCTTCCCCACTCCAACACACACACACACAAATGTGAAAAGATAAAAAATACCCCAGCCTTTAACTAATTTTTCCTGAGAAATGCTCTCCTGGCTTCTTCAGCTCAAACCTTTAAACTATTAAAGTAGGTTTGGCCTCAGTTGTCAGTGGTTTTTAGCACTTCCTTCCCACATATGCATAGGTAGTTTTCTGGTGGCTTTCCTTGTAATGAGAGAGTACTTGCCCCCTAATATTTTGTTATTGGCCAGTAAGACAGACATCAGAGAGCAGAAATTGGCCAGGCCCAGTGGCTCATGCCCGTAATCCTAGCACTTTGGGAGGCTGAGGCAGGTGGATCACGAGGTCAGGAGTTCAAGAGCAGCGTGGCCAAGCTGGTAAAACCCCGTCTCTACTAAAAATACAAAAATTAACGGAGAGTCGTGGCAAGCTAATCCCAGCTACTCGGGAGGCTGAGGCAGGGAACTGTTTGAACCTGGGAGGTGGGAGGTGGAAGTTGCAGTGAGCCAAGATAGTGCCACTGCACTCCAGCCTGGGCAACAAAGCAAGACTCCATCTCATACACACACACACACACACACACACACACACACACACACACACACAGCAATTAAGACAAAGTTCCATTATAACATTCAATTACATACAGTTTCTTTCTATTTTTAAGAAAGTCTATTTTTCTCTGGTGTGCTGTAGTATTTTTCTCTGGAAACACACCACTCCAACGTGTTTAAGTGTGGATTCATTGTTATCCTATTCATAACTTGGTGTGTATCTGCATGTCTTTCTTTGATCTGGGAAATATTCACCCATTATCTCCTCAAATACTGCCTCTCTTCAAATAATGTTCCTTGTATGCAGAACTCCTATTAGACATATGTTGGGCCTCGTGATTCAGTCACCTATGTTTCTTTTAATATTTGGGCATAATTTCCCCCATATCTTGTTCCCTCTAGATGAGTGCCTCAGCACTATCCGACGGCACACAATTTTTCCCTTCATCTGTATCTCACCTCCTGTTTACTTATCTATTGCATTTTTAATTTTTTCATTTCCAGAGGTTCTTTTTGATTCTTTTAAAAATCCACTTTTTAACTCACAGTATCCCATCTGTCAATACAATCTTTGCTTTATCTTTTGTCTCTCTAACGATTTTAAACATACGTATAGCATTCTTTCCAATTATCTCTTAGGTCCAGTACATGTGCTCATAGGAATACTACTTGTTTTGTCTGTTGACTCCTCCTCACAGTGTTTCATTTCTCTGTGTTATCTGTACCGTTTTCACTGGTAGCTCATACTCAGTATGTCTCCCTCCCCAAGGGAAATCCATTATATCCAAATGGTGGAACTGTCCCTGTACAGCCTTTTTTTTTGGCATTTTCTTCTGTTAAGGCCCCAGAGTTTTCAGTGACTACAGAATAATTTTCATGTTTATTTCTATGCTTCAGGTTCCTTTGCACTGTGGGCAATAAAAATTTGGGCTTTATACCTGCACGTGACACAGGTTTAAAAATTTATTTTTTTCCCTTATTTAGATTTTCTCACACATGTACCTCATTCTTGGGTACCATTGCTCCAAGAAAACCACAAACTTCTTTTTTGCTTTCTGAGTTGTTGGGCAAAGTGCTTTTCTGGTCCTTTTTACATGCAAGGCAAGCCTTCAATATTCCCAGCTTTAAGAAGGAGCCTCATTCCAAGCTCCCCTTCTTGCACAGGTTCAAGTTCATATATCCTGTTCCTCTGTGAACGTTACAGTCCTGCCCATTTAGTAGTCTGCATTGGGTCTTTATTTGGGTTCTCTTTGGGGCTTTACTTTTTTAGTTCCTTCTTCTGACTCCACCTTTGAGTTTTTTCTCTGTTCCCAGCATCTAGGCATTTCCATTTCTATCAAGATAGGTGACTTATTATCTTTATCATTGCTAGTTCATGTTATTGAGTATCATAGAGAAGTTGAAGTTTTGGAATCAGACTGTCTAGATTCAAGTCTCAGCTCTGGCACTTACTGGATTTATGACCATGAGCAAGTTATCATCTTTAAATATAAGTTTTCTTAGTTGTAAAATGGGAGTAATAATAAGACCCAGCTCATATGATTGCTGTGAGGATTAAGAGATGTAATATACATGGAGGGTATGGAGCAGTGTATGGCACATATTAGAAGTCCAATAGTTATTAGGTATTATTCTTGTTATCTTTCTTATGATTGTCATCACCATTATCATCGTATGCATTGTCATGTGTTTATAAAAACAGCTCCCACCATTTTTTTTACCAGAAATGCTGCGATATACTTTTTAATCCCCAAACACGATTACTGCCATTGGTGACACTAACCAAGACTCCTTCCTCCCTAGCTCATGCAAACTTAAAAGGTACTAATCAATTTTAAATTTAGTCTGTGTAAACTATAATTTAGAAGACTGAAGTGTTTCAAGGTCAGTTTACGTATTTCTGAACTAATTATAAATAATGTGTATTGCCTTCTTTTTTCTTTGAATTATTTGAATCATGGTGTCCCTACATCAGGGCAAATGATTGAGAGAAGGCAATTGCGTATTAGTGACAGCGCCAATGGCTCGACTATCAAAGACGGGCTATTTGAGTTGAATACTCTGTTGTGAATCCCCTGGAGAAACAGGTCCTCAGAAGTGAGCAAGAATGAATGAAGTGGAGCATAATGAGGGAGGCTTTGTAGTATGGTCTAATGAATGACTCCTTGACATTCTCTGATCTCTGACATGACAGGCATATGGTGTTTATCAATAAATAAAAAGGATATAGTTACACTGAGGCTGAAGCATTCAGGGATTGGTAACATTTGGTAAGCTGGCAAGCTCTCTGCCCCGCTCTTTACCCTCACAGGTAGAATAAAACAAAATGTCTCCATAAGAATCTATTTATAGTATATGATAGTCTTTGGTTGTCTTTAGTTTCCCCAAAGAAGCAGTAGCTCATGCTCTAATTTGCATCCATGGACGCATGTTAGTGTATTATCTAAATGACACTTTGAGGTAATCACAAACAGTCCTTAGAACTTTCAATGCACAGATTCTTTTTAAAAAATTTTCAACTCTTATTTTAGATTCAGGGGATACACGTGCAAGTCTGTCACATGGTAACATGATATAACTCTGAGATTTGGGGTGTAGATGATCCCGTCACCCAAGCAGTGAGCATAGTGCGCAATAAGCAATCCCTCAGCCTGCACCCCACTCTTTCCTGCCTGCCTCCAGCAGTCACCAGTGTCTACTGTTTCCATCTCTATGTCCATGTATACTTAATGTTTGGCTCCCACTTATAAGTGAGAACATGTGGTATTTGGTTTTCTGTTGCTGCATTCATTCACTTAGGATAATGTCCTCCAGCTGCATCCATGTTGCTGCAAATGACATTTCATTCATTCATTTTATGGCTGTATAGTATTCCACAATGTCTATGTACCACATTTCCTTTATCCAGTCCACTGTTGATGGGCACCTAGGCTGATTCCATGTATTTGCTATTGCAATACACAGCTTCTTTAAAATATCCCCAGCCTGAAGGCTGACACATTTCGTAAGACTAATAATTATCTGGTGTCTGACAAAAATAGTACATTGTTTTTGGTTTTGTGTTCTCTACCAAAATCTTAATAACAGGCACAGCTTGGTGCTCTTCAACCTGTGGCAAAAGGCGAGAGATACATTGACCAGGAAACTCCAATGGGAAGGGTAGAGAGAACAGGCTCTCTGTCTGCCTATTTTCTACATAGAGGCTGTATTTATAGAAAAGCAAACATTCTGTCAGAAACAAACAGTTCAACGCAAACAATCACACCAAATGAACCTTCAACGTGTCTGTAATCCACAAATTTGCCACAGCTTCTCAGAAAGAAGCCGTTACAACGGTGCCGTGCATAAAGCATCTGCTTGATAGAATCCTTGATATAACTCTTCAATCCTTTCTTTCTCTCACACTCCATTTTCAACCTTTAGGAAATGCTGTTGGTTCAAGTTTCAAGATACTCCCAAATCTCACCACTCTACATGACTTCTGCTGCCACTACCACAGTCTGAGCACCATCACCTCTCCCTCTGAGAGCTGTGAAAACTTTCTAATGGTCTCTCTGCTTCTATACTTTTTTTTTTTTTTTGAGAAGGAGTAGTCTCGCTCTGTTGCCAGGCAGTGCAGTGACATGATCTCAGCTCACTACAACCTCTGCCTCCTGGGTTCAAGTGATTCTCCTGCCTCAGCCTCCTGAGTAACTGGGATGACAGTTGTGCTACTATGCCCAGCCAATTTTTGTATTTTTAGTAGAGATGGGGTGAAACCCCATGTTGTCCAGGATGGTCTCCATCTCTTGACCTTGGGATATGCCTGCCTTGGCCTCCAAAGTGCTGGAATTACAGGCATGAGCCACGGCACCCAGCCACTACTATACTTTTATGTATTCCATACAGCAGGTAGAGAGATTCCTTTAAAAAAAGATAGGTCAGGTCAGGTCATACCTGTGTTTAAAATCCTACATTGGCTCCAAAGTCCTTACAATGGCTCCTAGGCCCTTGGATCTGGCTTCCCATGTTTGTTCCTTCCACTCTCCCCTTCTTGCTCTCTCTCACTTTTCTCAAGCCAACGGATATGACCCCCTTGCTGTTCTTCAAATATTCTAGACACTGTCCCTTATCCTGGAATAATCTTCCACTGAATTCTGGAGGGTGCATCAAAAGTGTGTGTGTGTGTGTGTGTGTGTGTGTGTGTGTGTGTGTTTCCAATCTCACCTTCCAGTGAGGTTTATGTCTCCAATTACCCTATTTAAAATGAGAGCATGCCCTCCACAAACGCACACACCCAGGTCAAAGGATCCTACTACTTTTTTCTTTTACCCTAAAACATGTATCATCTAACATACTAAATAGTTTATTATTACTATGTTTATTGTCTTGTCCAACTCTCTCCTCTAAAACATAAGCTCTATAAGAGCAGGAAACTTCTATTCAGTGAGGTACCCTTAAGTACCTAGGTTAGGTTCACTGACAAAATAAAGTGCACCCAGGGCAGGGCGAGGTGGCTCACACCTGTAATCCCAGCACTTTGGGAGGCTGAAGCAGGCGGATCACGAGGTCAGGAGATCAAGACCATCCTGGCTAACATGATAAAACCCTGTCTCTACCAAAAATACAGAAAATTAGCTGGGCGTGGTGGCGGGTGCCTGTAGTCCCAGCTACTCAGGAGACTGAGGCAGGAGAATCACTTGAGCCCGGGAGGTAGAGGTTGCAGTGAGCCGAGATCACACTACTGCACTCCAGCCTGGGCAACAGAGCAAGATTCCATCTCAAAAAATAAAAAATAAATATAAATAAAGTGCACCCAGCAAAATCTGAATTTCAGGTAAACAATGAATACTTCATTTTAAAATAAGTATGGCCTATACCATCATTGGTTTATTTATTGTTATCTGAAATCAAATTTATCTGGGAATGCTATATTTTTATTTGCTAAAACTGACAACTCCAATCTATAATAATGCCTGGCATCATCATCACAAGAAACATTACATGTGGTCTACTTTTTAAATTAAAATAAATTTGTTTTGTTAAAAAAAAAAAAAGAAAGAAAAAGAAAGAAAGAAACTTTAGGAATATATTTAACCAATGAGGTGAAAGATCTCTACAAGGAAAACTACAAAACACTGATGAAAGAAATTGTAGATGACACAAACAAATGGAAAAACATTCTATGCTCATGGATTGGAAGAAATAATATCATTAAAATGACCATACTGTCCAAAGCATTTAGAGTCAATGCAATTCCTATCAAAATTCCACATCATTTTTCACATAATTAGGGGAAAAAAATCCTAAAATTCATATAGAACCAAAAAAGGGTGAAAATAGTTAAAGCAAGCCTAAGCAAAAAGAACAAGGCTGAAGGGATCACATTACTTGACTTCAAATTATACTATAAGACTACAGTAAGCAAAACAGCATGATACGGATATAATAATAGACACATAGATCGATGGAACAGAATAGAGAACCCAGAAATAAAGCCATATATTTGCAGTCAACTGATCTTTGATGAAGTCAACAAGAACATACACTGGGGAAAGGACACCCTATTCAATAAATAGTCCCTGGAAAATTGAATTGCCATGTGTAAAGGAATGACACTGGACCCCTATCTCTCACTGCATACAAAAATAAACTTGAGATAGATTAAAGACTTAAATGTAAGACCTGAAACTATAAAAATACTAGAAGAAAATTTAGGGAAAATTCTTCTGTACCTTGGTCTTGGCAAATAATGCATGACTCAAACCTGAAAAGCACAAGCCACAAAAACAAAAATTGGACAAATAGGGCTTAATTAAACTAAAATATTCTGCACAGCAAAAGAAATAATTAATAGAGAGAAAAGATAACCTGAATGAGAGAAAATATTTGCAAGCTATGTATCTGACAAGGGACTAACATCCAGAATTTTCAAAGGATTCAAACAACCTAACAACAAAAAATCCTCCACAAATAATCTCATTAAAAAGTGGGCAACAGACATAAACAGACATTTCTCAAAAGAAGAGAAACAAATGCCAAAGCTCAGCATCACTAATGGGTTTGGTGCATTGGCTCATGCTTGTAATCCTAGCACTTTAGGAGGCCAAGGTAGGAGAATACTTGAGGCCAAGAGTTCAAGATCAGCCTGCATAACAGCAAGACCCCATATCTAAAAAAACAAAAAAAAAATTAAAAATTAGCCAAGTGTGGTGGTGCACACCTGTAGTCCCAGCTCCTTGAGAGGCTGAGGTGGGATGATTGCTGGAGCCATGATTAAACCACTGCACTCCAGTCTGGGCAACAGAGTGATACTCTGTCTCAAAAAAAAAAAAAATCACTAATTATCAGAGAAATCCAAATCAAAACCACAATGAGCTATCATCTTACTTAGTCAGAATGACTATTATTAAAAAGAGAAAAAATAACAGATGTTGGCAAGGATGCAGAGAAAAGGGAATGCTGATATACTATGGGTGGGAATGTAAATTAACCTCTATGGAAAACAGCATGAAGATTTCTCAAAGAACTAAAAATGGAACTACTATTCAAATCTGTAATCCCACTACTGGGTATCTACCCAAAGCAAAATAAATCATTATATCAAAAAGACACTTGCACTTGTATTCTTATCACAGCACGCCTCACAATGGCGAGGATATGGAATCAACCTAACAAATAATTGTCCATCAACGATTATGTACAATGGAATATGTCTATATGTACAACGGAATACTGTTCAGCCATTAGAGAAGAAGGAAGCATGTCTTTTGCAGCAACATGGATGGAAATGGAGGCCATTAACTGACGTGAAACAACTCAAGACACAGAAAGACAAATATCACATGGTCTCATTTATAAGTGGGAACTAAATATTATGCACACATGGACATAGAGTATAGAATGACAGTAGAGAATTGGAAGCAGGGGGAGGAGGATGATGAGAAATTACTGAGAACAACGTACGTTATTTGGGTAATGGATACTCTAAAGGCCCTGACTTCACAACCATGCAATCCATCCAGGTAACAAAATTACACTTGTACCCCATAAATTTAAACTAATAAAAAAATTAATTGGCTTTTGAAATTTTAATGGTATTTTGGGCTAACTGAAGATACCCTGACCTGTCTCAAGAAAAGTTTTATATCATTGTAGTAAATAACTTTAGGAAAAGTAAATGGCCAAAAACAAAAACAATGAAATGAGAAAAGCTAAGAACACCATCTATGATGCAACAGCACAAACATATGTTAACCGATATTAAGCATTATTCTTTATGATATTGGGCAAAAAATAACGGAATATTCCAAAACCAAAGTTGAAAAATATTTTGGAGAAATCTTATTACAGTGGAAAGCTAGAGACTGAGTTGAAGAGTGTAGCGTAATGTATTATTGAAGAATACACGGAGAATGAGAACCTGACCCAGATTAACCCACGTCCAGCCTCTACTTGTCCTTTCCAGTTAACTGTTGCCACTCACTACTTACCTGGTCTTGGGAGAGTCACAGTCAGACAACTCACTTTTATAATAAGTGAGGTATCTCGTTACATAAAAAGTCAGATAACTCACTTTTGTCATAAGATTTGTAAGATCCATTCTATTCCTAGAAATCTGGATTCTGTATACAAGTATGACCAGAAAGTGAAGAGTCTATTTTTACAAACCTACTAGGAATTTTATATGATAATAAATATGATCAGAGTAGTCACCATAATAAGCTGTTCACTTATTCCAAAGGTGATACCAGTGCTCCAAACATTTTCGGCACTTCTATTTGGTATTTTAAGAAATACTAACAAATGGTTTTACCCCAGCCAGTAAGAGGCAGAGCTAGAACCTGAGCCATGCACTGTGGCAGCACCATCTGTGATCTTAACATCTGTGCGGAACATCTATGGCTTTGCCCCTTTCACCCTGTGAAGACACAGCAAAAACACAGCCATTTGTAAGCTGGTAAGCTGGCCTCCACCAGACGCTGAATCTGCTGATGTCTTGAGCCCGGATTTCCCAGCCTCCAAAACCGTGAGAAATAAATTTCTGTTATTTATAAGCCACTAGTCTATGGTTATTTTTGTTGTAGCAACATAAACAGACTGAGACACCACCTCAGGCAGCTACAGTGTTAAACAATTACCACTGAAAGTTTTTGACAAGTGCCTGAGGAAAAAGGCTGTTTGCACCAAGTTCTGCATGAGTCAAACAAAGACCAGTTCTGTGAATGGAAGTTTTCAGGGAGCTGCCAGAGAGATAAAAAATAAAAAAAAATTCTGGAAACTGTGCTTTCCTGGGATGCTCCAACACCATTTCGCTCCCTCCAGTGACTGCTGGGCTGCTTTTTCCACACCTACCACGGCTGGGAGACTATATGTTTTCAAGGCTACTGTGGAGCTGGGCAGAAGATGAAAATAGGGTAAGATAAAATATTCACCCTCTTGTTATCAAGACTTATGTATTTTTATTTTTAATTTTTTTACTTATTTATTTTGAGACAGGGTCTCGCTCTGTCACTGAGGCTGGAGTGCAGTGGCGCGATCACGGCTCACTACAGCCTTGACCTCCCGGGCTCAGGCGATTCTCCCACCTCAGCCTCCTGGGTAGCCAAGACTACAGGCATGCATCACCACATCCAGCTAATTTTTGTTTTTTGTTTTTTTTGAGATGGAGTTTCGCACCCAGGCTGGAGTGCAATGCCTCGGATCACTGCAATCTCCGCCTCCTGGGTTCAGGCAATTCTCCTGCCTCAGCATCCTGAGTAGCTGGGATTACAGGCACGCACCACGATGCCCAGCTAAGTTTTTGTATTTTTAGTAGAGACGGGGTTTCACCATGTTGACCAGGATGGTCTCCATCTCTTGACCTTGTGATCAACCCGCCTCGGCCTCCCAAAGTGCTGGATTACAGGCTTGAGCCACCGCGCCCGGCCAATTTTTGTTATTTTTTTTTATAGAGATGGGGTTTTACCATGTTGCCCAGACTAGTCTCAAACTCCTTAGCTCAAGCAATCCACCCGCCTTGGCCTCCCAAAGTGCTGAGATTACAGGCACTAGCCACTGTACCTGGCCACTGTTTTTATTCAATAAAACACTCCTCAAACTGGGGTAAGCGTTTGATTAATTTCCAGAGTTCTGAAGAGGTTTACTTTGACAATTCAGTGGCGTGATCTCAGCTCACGACCACCTCCATCTCCCAGGTTCAAGCCATTATCCTGCCTCAGCCTCCTGAGTTCCTGGGATTACAGGTGCCCACCACCACACCCGACTAATTTTTGTATTTTTAGTAGAGTCAGGGTTTCACCATGTTGGCCAAGCCGGTCCTGAATTCCTGACCTCAGGTGATCTGCCCGCCTCGGCCTCCCAAAGTGTGGGGATTACAGGCGTGAGCCACTGTGCCTGGCCACAGTATGTTTTTAAACTGGGCAATTTAGACTCTTTGATTCTTCTTGACCAAGAAAGACAGATCATGGTTTGGAACTACTGTCCAAACCTATTATTATTATTATTATTATTGAGATAGAGTTTCACTCCATCACCCAGGCTGGAGTGCAGTGGCATAGTCTTGGCTCACTGCAACCTCCACCTTCCAGGCTCAAAAAATTCTTATGCCTCAGCCTCCCAAGTAGCTGGGACTACAGGTGTGAGCCACCACACCCAATTACTTTTTGTATTTTTAGTAGAGATAGGGTCTCACCATTTGGCAAGGCTGGTCTCGAACTCCTGACCTCAAGTGATCTGCCAGCTTCACACTCCTTTTAAACCCACGGCACATTTTACACTATCACATACAGCTTCTCCAAATAGAATCCTTTTCGGTTGAGCCCCACCCTTGCTTTTGACATGTGCAAATGGATAATACTAAACAGCTCATTGATTTCCATGTGAGAAGAAAAATCAGTCCTTTCTTCCTACTTTTAAGCAGCTATTTATAGTTAAACATGAATTTCTCACATAGTTCTTCTGAAATCTTCATGTTCTACCCCTTTCATCCTGAGCTGAGCTTTTGCTGAGCTAAAATATAAAAGAACACAAGTATAATCACCTAATATTAGTAAAAGTGTAGCAGAGAAATCAGGATACATCATAGACACAAATCACTTCAGAAAAGTTCTTCTCTGCCTTAAACCAGTAAGACATAAAGTAAGGTCATGCAATCTATCTTTTTAAACACATCTTGTCTGTGGATGAATATGATTAGAAGATAATGCAAACTTTAACCAATGTATTTTGGCATTTAGAAAGGAGTATTTTTACACATGTAAGATGGTTCCAGGAAAACGAAGAGGTAGATTCAAGTTTCTAACATTTCAAAAATTCTTCAAACCTGTGATACGTTACTAGTCAGAAGTATTTTATTCTTCCCAAACTTACCTTGGGAATTTAGCTGAGATGACGGCATCTCAATGTCAATAGGTTAAAAAAAAATACATAGACTGTAGATATAAAATATATATACTCTTCTTACCAAATTCACCTATCGTCTTCAATAAACACTCCTCAATTTATTGTAAGACTTTAATCAATTTCTAGAGTGCTGAAAAAGTTTATTTTGACAATTTTTGCCAATGTTCTCCTTGCTTTTATGGGAGAATACATTTTCAAAGGTCCTTATTCTGCCATTTCTGAAGTACTTCTCCTCTTATAATATGTTCATATATATATATGTGTGTATATATCTATGTATAGATATAGGTATAATATTAACCTATATATTCATATATATAAGTATATATATACTTAAATCAGTATATGTATATATATAATCAACAGGTTAAAAACAATTTTTAAGAAATTGTAAATATTTAATTCCCATAGATGTATATATGTGGGCCTAGGTTAATTTATTTTGTTATACAGAAGTATGATATTTGTTGCAAAGTATAAGGCAACCTAAGAAAATATTTATTTGATTTTTCTATGTGAAATTACTTGCTGATCTTTATTTGGTAAAAAAAATAAAAAATAAAAATGATAGTTTTTCACCCATTAAGTATGAAAGACAAAAGAAAAGTTGAAATTAGAATTAAAATTAGACTAAAAAATCATTTTTCAAGCTGTAAGGGAAAATATCTCCGTAAACATCTCCCAAAGATTAGAAAAATATCCAACTGTGCTGTTAGTTACTTAGCTCATAACTTTTATACCACTGATTCATCACTTGAATTGTCCTTTTAAGTTAGAAGAAACACTGCTTTAATTAACATATCCTATACTGAGATGAATTCTGTGTAAGTTGAAAATGACACTGTTCCATATACAAAGGGGGCCAAGTATTTTCATGCAGTGTAATATAAATAGATACAGAACAGATAAACCAAAATAATTTCCATAACACGTTTAGGTTATTTCACTGTGTTTTGTGAGAATAATTAGATGAATTGCTTTACTTTGTAAACAGAAAGAAATAGACATTATATCTTAATAATAAGTATACATATATCCATGTATATAACATTGCTTTCACTGTTCAGCCGATTTAAAACATAGTACAGAAAGAGTTCTTGCTTTGCACAAGGCCCCCTCGGAATCACGGCGAGGGTATGACAGAAACCCTGATTGTGTTTTGACTCTTCGGTATGCTTTTTTGTTAATTTATTGGCACTTGTGTCTTTGGCAGAGCCTGCTGAATTGCTTTCTAAATGGAGTACTTGAAGTATATAGTTAGACTGGCTGCTTTCCTTAATTGACACTCCTGCACTTCATCAACTGGTCGCTATACTGTCTCTTCTGTTTCTCCCTTCTAGGTTCGCTTCCAGATTTCTGGCCTGCCTCTCCCAACAAGCATATACACCTGTAGTTAAACAGGAATATTGCTGGGTGAGGAAAGAGAAATATTCAAATGTCAGAGAAAAAAACATCTGGAACATTTTCAAGGCCTAGAAAGTTTCATGCGGAAAGAGCATGAAGTCATTCCAAGGTAAAGCACTGTGGGGTATTCTGACAAAACCACCCATCTACTTCCATTTTCATGCCCCCTCTCAGTCCAGTCTTGGTGTAGACAGAGTGAGAGGATGTGCATGGCCTTATGAAACACTTTCAGTTCCTCCTTCCCATCTGGCCTTAAAAAACTCACATATGTACACCAAGGCAATAGTTGCAAGTGCATAAAATCATTTGCAAGGCTTATCAATAAGCATAAAATGTCCAGGTCTTGCAGCCCAAGAACTGCATTTGCAGAGAACAAATCCACACATCTTTGAAGAAGGGAAAAAGAATTTAGAGGCAGTGAAGATTTATATATACATTGAGTCTACAGATATCCTGAGAGATACATTTGCATTATTTTGGCCTCCTAATATTGACTTTAGCTCATTTAAACTGTTCCTGAGCATTGTGATTAATACAAATATACTGTCAGCTAGAACTCTGAGATATTACAATCAACTTTAAACAAACTTTCCCAGAAATTGGGAAATAGAATGGAATTAGAAAAGAAGAAATAAAAGAATAGAAATCAGATACAACAAATAGGGAGCCTTGAGGGACAAGAGTTGGGGAGGAATGTGCGGGGTTTCTTCTGTAAGTCCTTGGCTAAGGGATATAGGGAAAGACTACCTGAGACTTGCCAAAGAGCAGCTGTTTTGTAAAAAAGACACAAGAGGACAGACAAGTGCTGAAGGACACTGAAATTTCAATGCAGCCAATAACTCATCAATACTTTATTAACATGCCAGGATCCAACAGAGAAACCCAAGAGGCTGTACTTGAGGATTAAGGGTTGCCTTGTAGATTAAGCTCTTTTCTAGACCCATCCCAAAAAAGTCTAAGACAAGGCTAAGAAATGTCCAGACAAGATCTTCAGAGGAGAGAGAGTCTGTATGTTTAGTCTTACCAAATTAGTGAGGCTTGGAAAATACCTGCCACAGTTCTGTCTCAACAAAATGTAAAACCAAACCTTCATACAGCTCAGGTAGTAACTTAACTGCCACACAGCACTAACGTCAACACTCTTGAGAAAAACAAAACAATGTCCAAATTATCTCTAATGTGTAATTGTCAAAGGCCGTTTTTGTTTTGTGTGTGTGTTTCCTTCTTTTTTTAAAAGCCTACAAAGCTCTTAATTTTGTCCAAAGAACACTTTTAATTAAAAAAATTACTATACATGGCAAAAAAAAGGTAATTATAAGCCACAGTCAGGGGAAAAAAGCAGTTTATAGAAACCAACCCTGAGATGGCCCAGATATTGGTTTAGCAGAAAATAACTAAGCAGTCTTATAGTTAAAAAGTACAATAAAAATATGGTCATAATGAGTAAACAGACAAAATCTAAGCAGAGAAATGAAAACTTTTCAAGTATGAAAATTCTGTTGTAGAAAATATAATAATTGAAATTTTAAAATTGCTCATTGGGTTTAATAGCAAATTGGAGATGGCAGAATAAATAGTGAACTTTAAGATAGCTCAATAAGGCCAGGTGCGGTGGCTCACGCCTGTAATCCCAGCACGGTGGGAGGCCAAGGTGGGTGGATCACGAGGTCAAGAGATCAAGACCATCCTGGCCAACATAGTGAAACCCCATCTCTACTAAAAAAATACCAAAACATTAGTTGGGCATGGTGGCACACACCTGTAGTCCCAACTACTCGGGAGGCTGAGGCAGAAGAATTGGTTGAACCTGGGAGGCGAAGGTTGCAGTGAGCCAAGATCGCGCCACTGCACTCCAGCCCAGTGCCCAGCGACAGAACAAGACTCTGTCTCAAAAAAAAAAAAAAAAAAAAGAAGACAGCTCAATAAAAATAGTTAACTTGAAAAACAGAGAGAAACAAATTCCAAAGGAAAAAAGAACATAACCTACGGGATTTGTGGGATAATATTAAGAAAATGTAACATACATATAATCAAATTTCCAAGAAGGAAAATTAAATGAGAATGGGGCCCAAAAACAGTTTTTTGACAAAATAATGGCCAAAGAGAACATCACATTTATCCAGTATATTGGTGACATCATGCTAATTGTACCAGCTAAGGAAGAAATGGAGACCGTGGTACTACACATGGGCTTCAGGAGATAGGAGATAAACCCTATGAATATTCAGGGACCAGTTACATCAGTTAAAATTTTTAAGTATTCCCTCCAAAGTAAAGGATAAATTATTGAATCTCCTACCTCCTACCACTCAGAAGAAAGCATAATGCCTGGTAGTCCTCTTTGGATCATAGAGGCAGATACTTTATGCCCAGGAATATTTTTCCCACACATTTAACAAGTAATATGAAGGACAACAAGTTTTTGGTGGGGTTGAAAGCAGGGAAGGACACAACATTAACTCCAGGCTGTATGCAAACAGTTCTGTCACTTGGCCATATACCCTGAGAGCCCCTATAGAGCCCAGGTATGATTACATTAGTGGTATCAGTGATGGGAAAAGGTACTATGTGGGGTTTATGGGAAGTCCTAAGAGGATTACACAGCACAGTAATGCCAACTGCAGCAGATACTAACATACCTTTTAGAAAAAGGCTCTTGGCACACAGCTGGGTTCTGGTAGAGACAGAGTGCCTGGCCATAGGACACTAAATAGCCAGGCAGCTGTAATTTTACATCACAAGCTGGACTCTGTCAGAGCTACCAAGTTCTAAAGGTGAACAAGCCCACCAATTCATCACAAACTGGAAGTGTTCCATCCAGAAACACATAAGCAGAACGGAAGGGCAAAGCTGTCCGCGCAGTTGCTACAGACTCTATGTCACCCGCCACTTTGGAACTGGCACTTCTCCCTCAGTACACGGGGTCCTACAGCTTAGTCCTTTAGAACCACCTTCCCGAAAAGGAAGAAGCTTCAGCCTGGTTCATAGTAGGCCAGCCTATTACATGGGGAAGCAAAAAATGAATGGTATCTCTACTACAACCCCACTCGGAGGCAGCCTTCAAAGACAGCAGTGAAGTGAAATCCTCCCATTGTTTATAGCTCAGGCAATGCATCAGGCTGTCCACCTTTGTGCAGAAATATAAGTGGTGCAAAGTACGAATATATACAGATAGGTGGCTGGCATCATTTGGCCATCTGGTCAGAGACTTGAAAGAAGAAAGATTGGAAGAACAGAAACCAGCCAGTCGAGAGAAGAAGCATAAAGATAAATATACAACACTGCACACAAAGTATGCAGATCTTTGTAGCACATGTTAATGTCCATCAGAATATAAGTGCCCCAAAATGCATCCACCACAATCAGGTAGACAAAATAGCATGAGTAGCTGATATTGCCAGCTTCTGTCATCAGCCACACCAAGGCTGGCACAATGGGTACAAAAACATGGTCGCTGTATTAGTATGTTCTCACATTGCCATAAACAACTACCTGAGACTGGGTAGTTTATAAAGAAAAGAGGTTTAATTGACTCACAGTTCCACAGGCTGTACAGGAGGTATGGCTGGAGAGGCCTCAGGAAACTTACAATCATGGCAGAAAGTGAAGAAGCAATAACATCTTTACATGGCCGC